GTCCGTTTTGGTTTACGTGTTTGTGTTTGGCTGGGATCGTCGACGGCTTGGGCCGTCGGGTCGAGGGCCTTGCATTTGTGCTTCCTGCATCCTTTCTGCATTCGCCCGTGCATCTTGCCCCCATGCGTGCATGCGTTGTTCTTGCCTCTTGCGATCGTCGTCCATGCCAGCGAATTCTCGGCTGCCGGACGCTCCAACGGGCGGGGCGCTGGGCAGCAGCTCCGCAGAGACGCCCCCCGTGTCCACGCCGGGCTAGCAGGAGCTCAAGAGAGCGAGGATCGCTTCCAGCCCACTGCAGGAGATGGACGACGATGCCCCCGCGCCACTACGACGGCAGGAGTTTCAGAAGCAGCTCGAGGACGCACAGGATCACGCACCATCGACAGTTTCATCCATGGCGCGGCTGTTGGATGCACGTCTGACGCCGCTCTGTCAGGACATCGCGGCAATCGAAGAACACGGGGTCTCCCGACGCCATCTCGCAGAAGCTCATCAACCGGTCCGGGGCAATCGAAATCTCGCGCAGGGAAGCGCTCGAGACGGCAGCAGCCCGAGTCACTCCGCGCTCTTTCGGCGCAGTGGACAGCCGGGCGTCAGTCGAGGCTCGTTCGGCGGATGTGGAGGGCGCGCTGAAGCACCTAGCGACGTCGGAGACCGCCGTCCTCGCAGGCCTGGATGGCCTCTCCCCCGTGGCGGAGGCCGAGCAGTTTATGGAAGAGGATCTCTGGAATGCGCAGATCCCGCCTCCGACCGATATGTTCATTGAAGAAGAGCCCTGTGCTTGGAAAAATGCGACCCCCCCGATGACCTTAAAAGCGGCGCGGAGAGGTTCCGGTCCGAGGCCATTGCGCGGTCCGGCAAAAGGGTTTGGGCTAATTTAGATCAGCCGCTACGTGTTCGAGCGCCCCTCCGTTCGCATTTTGGTCTCAAAGTTCTTGGTCAACCGGGGCTTCGCAGCGAAGTCCATCGAGGTCGACGGCGCCCTGCGCTCCGTGAAGTTCGGGATCGACACCGCGCTGGTGGCCACTGCCGCATTTGATTAAGAGCTGAAACTTACACGGACGAAGCCGGACTCTAAGAAGCCGGACTGTAAAGCGAGGAAGGCGCTGCGCAACAACGTGGATTTCAAAGCCTTGCGTGAAAAATCCCAGAATTCACTGCAGCGGGCCGCTGGCAAGGGCAAGGGGAAAGGGCAGTCTGCTAGGCAGGGGCAGGGCCAGCACAGGTCAAACAGATAGGGGAGCTTGACATTTACACAAGGAATGCAAGATTAAGGACGAACGCACAAGTGACAGAGTGATTATCAGAGCTCGTAGGCATGCAGTGGGATATTCTTCTATTCCGCGAGACGCGGGCACCGCCATCTGAACTCGCACTCGAGGGCGGGCGCGAATCGTGTCTCGATCTGGGGGGCCACGTCGCCGCAGGCGACGGCGTCCTGGCGCGCGAGCGCCGCGTCCCCAATGTCAGAAAAGTCAGTGAATGGAACGATCGTTTTCTTGGTGTCGACATTGTGATGCATAGTGTAAGCGCCGCGCACTGGATTTGCCGAGGACGCCCTCGATTCGGTTTACAATGACCTCCATGGCGAGGCGCGCGCGAACCAGAAGCATAACGAGAACAGCTTTGTTGTCGCTGGGGGAGATTGGAGCTCCCAGTTCAACATTGGGCCACGCGGTCAGAGACTGAGCGAATTCACAGCGGTGCACGGCCTTCAAATCACCTATTTCCCGCCAAGGCTAGCGCGCTGACTTCTGCGCGTTCCGCGCAAGCGCGGGCGCTGCAAGACGCGTCGAGTTCGTCGCGCTGCCGCGCGCGGCGCGGGTGGAACAGAGCGCAGCAGTCAATTCTTTGCGTTTGGGCCCCAGCCGTGCAGGGCTGCACGCGCGCGCGCGCGCCGAGACATCTGGCCGGAGGCGCAGAAGTATGGCCCTCGAGGTTGGGGCCCTGGCGATGATCACGCGTGGCGTCGCGACGCGGGCGCGCGCTGGCGCGCGCATCCGCCAGCGGGCCCTTCCGATCTCGATCTTTGCGTGGCCACTTTTGCGCCGGGCATGACAGACGAACGAGCAATCAGCCAGCCTTCTGGGCCGACGGTGCTTTCCAAGATCTTCTCCGCCAGCGTCGTGCTCTCCCAAGCGGGTTTGCCGCCAGAAGAGACATCTCCACGCGAATTCGCAGGGCAGTGCGGGCCCAACTCCGGAGACAGAAGGCCATGCGCACCCAGCAAGTTCTGACTGAGTTCCGTGACCAACGCCGACTCGCAGAGGCGAAACAGTTTCCGGCGCGGAAGCGGCTGGGTGGCGCAGAATGCGCTCCTGGAGCGACAGCAAGGTTCTTGGTTTATATATTTTCTTCCACTGAGTGCCCGCGGAATAATCGGGCCATCGAGGCCCCCCCAACGTTCTAGCGTTCGCGAAGGCAGCGCTTGGCAAAGCAATCAAGGTGCTGAACAGCAGGAGAGGCGCCGACGCAGACGGCGTCGTCGCAGAAGTGTTCAAGCACGCCTCCAACACTTTCCTGGGCCACTTGCTACACGTGCATAGCGATATGACACGCGCGGGGCCTCTGGAGGGTTCGTGGGGAGATACTTTGTTTACACTGCTGCCTATGACCCGGGACCTGTCGCAGCCGCAGAATTGGAGGCCGATGACCTACAAAGCGTTCTCTCGGATGCTCTACCACTGGCTGCGGGGCGCCCTGGAAAGTGCTCCGGGGCCCGATCAAGCTGGCCTCAGAAGTGGCACTTGGAAGAAGATGCCTTCTTGGTTTTTGAAGTTGCCTTGCGCGCCGCTCTGGTGCGCAAGTTTCGACTTGCGCAAGGCATTCGACTGGATCGAATGTGCTTCCTTGTTCCGAGCCCTGCGCGGCCAAGGTGTGGATGCAGACCGCGTCGCTCTGCTGGCGTCGTTGCATTCCCATCGAGCGGGTTGCGTAGCCGTGGCGCAGCCATTCCCAAGTCAACGTGGAGTCGAAAAGGGGGACGTCATTAGCCCAACTTTGTTCAATGCTGCACTTGAAATGGTGATGGCCAGTTGGGAACAACGGGCGGGGGGGGGGCAGGGGCAGCTCAGGAGGGGAAAACCGCAAACACAACTCGCAGCTCGAAAACTCGAGCACCAGAAACACGCGCCGAAACTCGAGGGTCTTCACGTGTCGGGCCCTGGGAGACACTCGCCCGACACTGCTTCGACACTGCTTCGACACTCTTCTGACACTTCTCCGGATGCTCGAACTTATTTCTGGGATGTGGTCCTTAAGGTAGGATGGGAACAACGTAAGTCAGGAGAGGAAAAAACGCACAGACACAATTGATCGTCGATTCCCCAGAAACTATGGGAAAATATGGGCAGAGGGGGGGGGGGACAAAAACCCAGAAGATGTAGGAACATATGGGGGATCATTTTTAAATTGTGTGTATTTACTTGTGTGTCCCAGGGCCCCTTCAGTAGCTACATATTCGCGTCGCCAAAACATCGGGGCGGAAGTTGTTCGCCGTTCTCGGCCTCGGGAGGCCCTCGCCGGGCCCCAGGACCGTCAGAAAACGTTTCTCTCAGGATGGAAAGCCGGTCCCGGTCAGAGGGTCGGGACTTCCGGAGACAGCGTAATCCGGGGGCCCCCAAACGGGGTGGTGACCACACCGTGCGGTGAGGATTCGTTTCTCTCAGGATGAAAAGCCGTTCCCGGTCAAAGGGTCGGGACTTCCGGAGACAGCGTATTCCGGGGGCCCCCAAACGGGGTGGTGACCACACCGTGCGGTGAGGATTCGGGGTCACCGCACGGTTTTGGGACTCCGTCGTTCTCCGAGGACGTCTCGGGCGGCCGGGGCATCCGAGGTCCCAAAACCGTGCGCTGAGGTGAGGTGAGGTGAGGTGAGGTCTTGGGGGATTTCGAGGTCACCGCACGGTCTGTCACCGCAGCGTTTCGTGACCCCAAAGTACTGAACAAAACGTCGCACGTTTGGGATCCGAGTTCCGAATCGTCAGGGCCGGGGGTGGTCAGGGGTAGCTACGGATTCGTGCCTCGAGGGCCCAAACCGGAGTCACCTTGAAATGCATTTATCCCGGATAATTCGGGCGCCCAACCACGTTAGGAAGACATCACGACGTCGGAATATTGGGACGCCTGGGTTCGGCGTCACCCCAACATACTACATAAGACTATGTGTGCGTCGCCTGCCCAGGGGCGACGCGCGCGCCAAGAAATCTTACGGTATATGCGTCGTGGCGGGCGCTTTCTGGCCCCAGCGCTCGGGAAACGAAATATTCCAAGACGGTTATACTAGATGTTGGAGTCGGACGCACGCATCCGAGGAGAACGCACAGTACTAGTATATCCTTGTGCGTCCCAAAACATGTTGACATCTCCTCCTGATTCTCCAGAACTCCAGCGCCGCGTGCTTTTTTCGCGACGTGGACTCCCCGAGATCTTGACGTCAACCTCCTCCTCCTCCTTCTCCTCCTCCCCCTCCTCCTCCTCCTCCTCCTCCTCCTCCTCCTCCTTCCCCTCCTTTTCTTCTCCTCCTCCTCCTCCTCCTCCTCCTCCTCCTTCCCTTTACTTCGGATCCGCCGTACGTGTGGGCGATGTCGCAATCATGGCGGAAATTTCAGCCTTACTCTTCAAGCTCCTTCGATGCCGATTTCCGCTCCACCGTACCGTCGCTGTTTCCGCCATGTTTTTTGCGGAAATATCCGCCTTTCGTTTCTGAGGTGGACATTTCCGTATCATGTTTCGCATCGTTTGGAGTGCATCTCCGACATCGCTTCATGTCTGAAAAGCGAGCAGCTAGGGGGCCACATGCGAACCCTACCCCTACCCCCCACGATTTCTGAAGGGAGGGTGGGGTTCACTTCGTTCGCGACCGAAGTGAACCCCACCCTCCCCCTCAGAAATCGTGGGGGGTAGGGGTAGGGTTCGCATGTGGCCCCCAACCTAAATGCCTGGCCCCCGGAAGTCCCGACCCTCCCCAGAGCCCGTTCGGCGTCTGAGCCCGTTCGGCCGCGGAGCGGACTTCCACATCGAGCCCATTCGGCGGCCGAGCGGGCCCACTCCCCTCGAACCCGTCGGAATCGAGCCCGTTCGGCTGCTCACTCGGCGGCCGAACGGGCTCGGAAAAGCGGCCACCGCACGGCGCGTCCGAAGTCAGGGCTTGTCTTATGATGTTCCAACCTACCTTGGCCTTGGTCACCAGGAAGAATTTCGAGCACCAGAAAAACGTGCCGAAACTCGAGGGTCTTCACGTGTCGGGCCCTGGGAGACACTCGCCCGACTCTGCTTCGACGCTCTTTCGACACTCTTCTGACACTTCTCCGGGTGCTCGAATTTATTTCTGGGATGTGGTCCTTACGGTAGGATGGGAACAACATCAGGTTATGTCGGGCGTGTCCCCCTACAGGGGGATTTTCGACGAATAATACAACATACCCCCAAAATAGTCAAAACATAGTCCGACAATAGTTTGGGGACTATTTTTTGAATATGTTTTGACCTTTCTGGGGTATTTTTGGTAGTATTTTTCATATTTCGTCGAACATCCCCCTGTAGGGGGACAGGCCCGACTTAAACATAAGTGGGTAGGATGGGAACAATATAAGTCAGGAGGGAGAAAAAAACACAGACACAATTAATCGTCGACTCCCAGGAAAAGATGGGATAATATGGGCAGTGGGGGGGAAGACAAACACCCCGAACAAATATGGGAAACGATCGGGAATCCTTTATTACCTGAGTGTATTTCTTTGTGTGTCCCAGGGCCCCTCCAGTAAGGCTTGTCCTTGCGTGTGGTTATTTGTGTGCATTTATTTGTGCGTATTTACTTGCGTGTCCGGCGCCGGGAGGCGTTGGGACATTCATCTACGTGAGCTGATTCTTTTGGACGCCCGAAATGGGTACGGAAAGAATGGGTACGATGCCCAACAACAAATGTTGTCCCAAACCAACAGCGGCCGCTGTTGGGCAGGCGGCCTTCTGTCTCGAATGGACACAGGCCGCGGCGGCGCGGACAGCGAGTCCTTTTCAAAATGAACAGGAACTGCTGTTGGGCATCGTACCCATCCTTTCCGTACCCACTTCGGGCGTCCAAAATTCTCACCCCCCCCCTTTGCTATCCCCCCTTTCGCCCGACGCGATATGTCCTCGCTGAGCACGGCAGCCTCCGCCGCTCGCTCCGCGACGCGGGTTTGGCCGGCGCTCGGGCCACCGCTCGGGCCTCCGGCGGCCGCCCGGGGGGGCGCACGGGGCGCCCCTGGGCGCGCACCCCTCGGGGGGGCGCGGCTGCTGGGGCGCGTCCCCGGTCCTCCTCCATCTCCTCCTCCTCCCTCCTCCTCCCTCCTCCTCCTCCTCCTCCTCCTCCTCCGCCTCCTCCTCCTCCTGAAGTCGCGGCGGAGCGCGGCTGCTGGGGCGCGTCCCCGGGCCAGCCACAACCGGGGGAGCTGTGGTCCTTACCCCCCTGGGGGGCCCCTCGATTTCGACGCCCCTCTCGAGATATCGTCGACGCGATGGTTTCCCCCAGGGGGGTAAGGACCACAGCTTCCCCAGTTATGGCTGGTCGGGTCCCCGGGGCGCAGACCTCTACGCCGTGTTCACTTCTAAGTCTTCGAAGGTTCTTTGAATTTTTTTGGGGGGGCCAGGACCCTCCCGTTTCTGATTGCTGGTCTATCCTGGGCCCTTTCTTGGCCACTGGGGGGCCAGGAACAAGTAGAAACGAACACGATTAGAAATGAGCACGACTAGAAATGAACGACGTGTAGTCAGAGGAGGAAAAGGTACCCCTATACCCTTCGCCCGTTTTCCTCTTTTTGGGCCTCCTGGGAGGCCCTCGTCGCCACCGCTGGATTCGCCTCGAAAGTCTGGTCAGAACGCACCCCGGGAGAGGTCTGGGGAGTAGCGGTATCGGTACTTTTTGGCTTCCCCATCTAGAGAACCCACTAAAACGCTTGAGAAACCTCGAACTTCGACCTCCGAGCGCCAAACATCGCCCGTCGTTATATTTCTCGCTGCGGGGATTGGTGGGGGTACGGTACGACGAAAACGCCGGAAAACCGTTCACCTCGAACTCCGAAGCCAGGTGGGTTGCGTGACCGTGCTCTCGGAGAAGTCCGCGGAGGCGATCCACTGGCTGATAGACGACCTCGGGGTGCCGCTGACGGCGCTTTCGCAGCTGGGTGGCCATGCGCGCAAGCGCACCCACCGCGTCCCACCGCGCGAAGACGGCACGCCTGTGCCGGTCGGCTATACGATCATGCAGCACGCGCGTGCAGCTGCTAAGGGGCTGGACGGCATCGACGTGAGGATCAGGGGAGGAAGGTGCTGATACTGCTACCCGTCCCTCGTTTTCGCCTTATTGTGCATGCTCGTGGCCACGGCTGGATTCGCCTTGGAAATCTGGTTAGAACGTACCCTGGGAGAGGTCTGGGGAGCAGCGGCGTCTGTACTTTGCTAGTTCCCCTAGAGGACTTCGTGCACCGTAAAGGCGATAGTTAAAGGGACGCGCGAGGATGGAAAGGAGGAGATCACCAGCGTCGAGTATGTAGACAAGGACGGCGCCAAGCAGACTCTGAAATGCGACGCGGTCGTGATCACCACAGGGGGATTCGGTTTTGATCACGCCGACGGCAGCTACATGCAGAAGTACCGGCCCGATCTTGTGGGGGTGCCCACCACGAACGGGTCTTTCGCCAACGGCGATGGCCTGAAGCTTGGGGAGGACCTTGGAGCGCACATGGTGGATATGGACAAGGTACAGTTGCACCCCACTGCCTTCATCGATCCGAAGGACTCGAGGAAGAAACGACTGCCAATGCATACGCGTTCGGAGGTTCGCGCGGATCTCTTGGGACAGCGCCGGGCCCCCACAGCGGCGCAGCGGATGCGATAGGGTTGTGGAGGTCGATTAATGGAGAGGAAGCGTGCTGCCAAATAATTTCCAGATGCCTAAAACATGTTTCAAACATGTTTTAAATATGTAAAAACATGCTTTAAGCATGTCTAGAACATGTTTCACATATATTAAACACATGTTTATTTAATAATAGGATTGTTAGAGTGTCCATTGTCATGGCATCCACAACGATAGGGGCCCCATTTCTGCGGTCCAAGAGCTGGTTTGCACGCGAGAGAGTTTCTTGAGCGGGCGAAGGACGGAACAGTGGTCAGATCTTTCCCGCCGTCGGGGACGTCTGCCCCAGCGCGGCTGGAAAGTTTCTACCCCGACGTGCCACCACAAACTTGGGCGGCGAGATCTGTACATGTCCACTGCTAGGGGGCCACGTGCGAACCCTCCCCCCCCACCCCCCGACGATTTCTGAAGGGGGAGGGTGGGGTTCACTTCGCTCGGGAGCTCCCAAGCGAGGTGAACCCCACCCTCCCCCTCAGAAATCGTGGGGGGGGGGGGGAAGGGTTCGCATGTGGCCCCCTGACTGCTCCCTGGCCAGGCCCATCCTGACCCCGGGAGCTGCGCGCACGCCCTCCTGGCCAGCCCAGGAGGGCGTGGCGTGTACACCGCTGCTGGGTTCAGGAGGGGCCGGGCCAGGGCGCAGCGGATCTGCATCGATTTCAGTCGGGCTTGTCCCTCTACAGGGGGGATCTTCCAAGATAGTGAAAAAATGGTCAGGGGACGATTTTTTGACCCTGTTTGGTAATGTTTGACGCATTGTGGGGGTGTGTTTAGTTATTCGTGCAAAATCCCCCTGTGCGGGGGCATTCCCGACCGAAGCATAGATCTCGTCGCCCTCATACATGTAAAAAAAACTTTCCAGCCGTTCCGGGGCAGGCGCCCTCTGCGGCGAACAAGCCTTTTTTTCAGACCCCTCCTCCTCCTCCTCCTCCTCCTCCTCCTCGTTCTCGAAGAGAAGAAGAACAGGCGCCATAGACATAAACCTGTGGCGCTCCGCGCGGATTTCTTGGATCCGGTGCCGCCCACGGTGCGCCCCGCGCGCCAGGGAGGGGGGTCCAGCGCATGTAGCCAAGAGTCCCGCGCGGAGCGCCACAAGTTTTATGTCTGTGGCGCTTCTTCTTCTGCTTATTATTCTCATTCTGCCTTATGATTATGATCATTATTATTATTATTAGTATTATTATTGTTATTATTATTATTATTAGTATTATTATTATTATCAGTAGTAGTAGTAGTAGTAGTAGTAGTAGTAGTAGTAGTAGTAGTAGTAGTAGTAGTAGTAGTAGTAGTAGTACTATTATTAGTATTCGTATTCCGATCATTCGTGTTATTATTATTCGTAGTTAATTTGTTTTCTTCTTCTTATTGGCATTGTCGTTATTAGTAACATCAGCATTATTGAATCGCTTCGCTCATTCCGCCGGCCCGTGATATGGCATCGCTGGTTTTTGTCTGTGTGTTCGTTGCCCATGTTGCGCTCTTGGGGGCGGGTGTCGTTCGGACGCGTTGCGTGGGGAGTTTTGATGGTGAAGCAGTTCCCTGGGGGTCGTCTCTCGATGGGGCGAGTCGTCGTCAAGATGCTTCTTTGGGGGGCCTCTTGGGGTCTGTTGAGAGGCCGTTCGGGGGCGCCTAGAGTCGTCGTCAAGATTCTCTTTGGGGGCCTCTTGGGGTCTGTTGAGAGGCCTCGGGGGCGCCTGGGAGACATGTTTGAACTGGGAGTCTCCTGGGGCCTCTTGGCGACATCTTGGGGCCTCTTGGAGGCCTCTTGGGGCCTCTTTGGGACCTCCTGGGCGCCTTCTGGGACGGAGGGCTCCATTTTTGAGTTCTCGGTATCCCTCCTGAGTCCCTCTTGGGCCCGTCTTGGGGCCTCTTGGTCCGTCTTGGGCGGCACTTGGGCCGTCTTGAGGGCTCTCTTGGGTCGTTTCGGCGCCGTCTTGGGAGCTTCGTGGGCCGTCTTGGAGCGGTCTTGGGGGCCTCTTGGGCCGTCTTGGAGCGTCCGGAAGCCGAAAAAGCCAGAACACAAAAAACATCGAAAACCAATGAAAATCAACGATTTTGGCCTCTTGGGGCTCTCTTCGGAGGCCTCTTGGAAGGCTCTTGGGGCGTCTTGGAGGCCTCTTGGGCTGTCTTGGGGGCCTTTTGGGCCGTCTTGGGGTCATCTTCGGCGTCTTCGAGCGCTCTTTGGGCGTCTCGGGGGCCTCTTGGGCAGTCTTGGGGGCCTCTTGGGGCACTCTGAGCGCGCTCTGGGGAGCCTGAGAGGCCGCACCCAGAAGGAAAACCATCTCTGAGTAGACTTGGTCGGGCGTTGGTCGGGGTACTTTTCGCCGGGGGACCCCCAGGGGCCGCCCCGCGCGCGCGAACTAGAAATACTGTTAATACTGTTAACCAGTTACCGGAGATCTTAGCACGCCCTGGCCCGTTGGGCCGGCGAATTAGTCGTTATTAGTAACATCAGCATGATTTGTATTACTCTTCTTCTTCTTCTTCTTCTTCTTCTTCTTCTTATATCTTCTTCCTCTTCCATCTTCGTCCCCTGTCGTGCTGTGGCGTGCCGCCCGCCCGCCCGCCCGCCTGCCGCTCTCTCTTCTTCTGTCTTCGTGCCCGCCCGCCTGCCGTGCCGTGGCGAGCCGCTCGCGCGCCGTGCACCGTCTGCGTGCCGGCTCTGCCAGCGGCGCGGACCTGCGGCGGCGGCGCCGCCCGCGGGGCCCCGTGGCGAGTGCCGCGTGCCGAGCCGCCGCGCGTGCCGTTTTGGCCCACGCGTCGGGCCAGGCTCCGCGCCGCAAAGCGCAGGGGAGGAGGAGGAGGGGGAGGAGGAGGAGGAGGAGGAGGAGGAGGAGGAGGAGGAGGAGGAGGAGGAGGAGGAGGAGGAGGAGGGAGGAGGAGGAGGGAGGAGGAGGAGGAGGAGGAGCAGGAGGAGGAGGAGGAGGAGGAGGAGGACCTCGGCGGGGGAAGGGCACCAGTCATGGGGATGGTGGCCGCTCAGGGGTGCTTCTTCTGCGCAGGGGGTGGGACCGTTCTGCCATCTACCTCGGCGAGCGTGGCCGGCGCCGCCGCCACGCCGCCAACGGGAGAGGGCCCAAACTTCGCTCACGCCCAGTGGAAAGCCCCAAGGCGGCCCAGAGGCCGACTCACTGGGAACCCCACGCCTGCGCGCAGGCGAAGGATCCCGCAGTCGGCCCCTGGGATGCCTGTGAGAGATTCCTATGAGCAGAGGGAGACGCCCTTTGGGGCCTTCCCCCTCGCAGCCAGCGCCACCCGTAGGGGTCCCCGGAACGATCTACTTCCTTTCCACTTCTCGAACTCACTCTGACAGCCTGCCGCAGCTCACCCTCCTCAGCCTCCTCCTGCAGTCGCCGCTGGCCTGGCTTTCGCATGCCCTTTTAGCTCGCCCACCTCCACGCCGTCACTTCTGCCCACCTGCCTTTCTCTCACTCTACCTACACTCCGAGCTCAGTATATGACTACCACCACCAAGAACGATAATAATCCACGATGCGATTTGGTGCAGTCTTGCTCTGGCGAAAAGCCCGCAGTCCCCCTCCCGCCGCCAACGGCAACCGGGCTGCCCACTCTTTCTTAAGGACCGAAGCAGAATTCATCAAAGCACGCGCGGTGGTGGTGTATATTTTTTGGTTACCAAGGGGAGCGATCCTGAATCCTTATACACCACCACCAAGAAGTGCTGTTTCTGCTTCAGGAACACCCCATGCCATGGCGCCTGCGAGCTGCGCCGCGCTCCTTTTCGCCGAGGCGTCGCAGCGTCGTCTGGCATGACCCTGCCCCTATTTTTTTTGCGGTAGATTGCTGATGCGGGCGGTGGTGGTGTATAAAAGTTGGCCTCGTATACACCTCCGCAGGCCAGCCTGCTCCCCCCCCCATCCTCCGTCATGGTGGGCGCCTCTGCGGAGGGGGGACCCAGGGCGCCCCCTCGGGCGCCAGTCCAGCAAGGCTGGTTGACCCGCATGGGGAGGACCCAGCAACGGCCCCCTGGGCGCAGCCGCAGCCGTGCCCAGCCCGCCACGCGCGCTTCCGCCATAGCCGGCCCCTGGAGGAGGAGGAGGAGGAGGAGGAGGAGGAGGAGGAGGGAGGAGGAGGAGGAGGAGGAGGAGGAGGAGGGGGGCCCGCTCCGCCTACGTTTCCTGCCCCTGAGAGATCATGCTGCCGATGCGATGGCTGTTCTGCCGGGCCTCGGCCCCTGATTTTGTCGCTTGGCCTGCTCCCCCGGGGGGGGGGGGGGCCGCCCGGGCCTCCGCGGGGGAAGCGGCAGCGTCTGAAGGCTCCATTGCTGTTCGTGCCGTCAGTGCCTCAGGAGGGGGAGGGGGAGGAGGAGAAGGAGGAGGAGTAGGAGGATGAATAATAATAATAATAATAATAAGCATAGCAATACTACTACTACTACTACTACTACTACTACTACTACTACTACTACTACTACTACTACTACTACTACTACTACTACTACTACTACTACTACTACTACTACTACTACTACTACTACTACTACTACTACTACTACTACTACTACTACTACTACTACTACTACTACTACTACTACTACTACTACTACTACTACTACTACTACTACTACTACTACTACTACTACTACTACTACTACTACTACTACTACTACTACTACTACTACTACTACTACTACTACTACTACTACTACTACTACTACTACTACTACTACTACTACTACTACTACTACTACTACTACTACTACTACTACTACTACTACTACTACTACTACTACTACTACTACTACTACTACTACTACTACTACTATACGCAGACGAAGAAGACGAATACGAATATCTTAATAATGAGAAGAGGAGGAGGATGAGGAGGAGGAGGAGGAGGAGGAGGACGAGAAGGACGAGGGGGACGAGGAGGACGAGGAAGACGAGGAGGACGAGGAGGACGAGGAGGACGAGGAGGGCGAGGTGGACGCGGAGGAGGAGGACGAGGAGGAGGACGAGGAGGAGGACGAGGAGGAGGACCAGGAGGAGGAGGACGAGGAGGAGGACGAGGAGGAGGACGAGGAGGAGGAGGAGGAGGAGGAGGACGGAGAGGACGAGGAGGAGGACGAGGAGGACGAGGAGGAGGAGGACGAGGAGGAGGAGGACGAGGAGGAAGAGGAAGAAACATAAGTGCAATAGCAGACGACTATGAATAAGAATAATAGTAGCAATGCTACTAACCTTCTAATACTAGAACCAATAATATTACGCTGATAATCGTACTTTGAAGAATAGTAAGAATACGAACACTAATAATGATACCACGAATCCTAACACTATTACTAGTATATGATGGTACTACGAATAAGAATGCGAATAATCCGAATACTCATACTCATAATACTAATCGTAAGACTATCACTAGCAATAATAATAATAATACTGCCACTGATAAGAAGGGTATGAATAAGACGAGTCAGACTAATACGGAGAAAGCTACAGACATAACATTACGAAGAAGAATAAGACAAATAACTGGAATAATAATACTCAGACGAGGAGGAGGAGGAGAAGGTGGAGTAGAAGTTGGAGGAGCAGGAGGAGGAGCACGAGCAGGAGCACGAGCATGAGCAGGAGCAGCAGGAGCAGGAGGAGGAGGAAGAGAAGGACGAGGAGGAGGACGAACCGGAGGAGGAGGAGGAAGAAGAAAAAGAAGAAGAAGAAGAGGATAACGAGGACGAGGAGGAAGAGGAGGACGAGGAGTAGGAGGAGGACGGGGAGGAGGAGGAGGAGGAGGAGGAGGAGGAGGAGGAGGAGGAGGAGAAAAAGGAGGAGGAGGAGGAGAAGAAGGATGAGGAGGAGAAGGAGGAAGATAATGCAACACAATCATAATAGTAACGGGAAGAGGAGGAGAAGGAGGTGGAGGAGGAGGAAGAGGAATAGTCATACTACTAATACACATGGTACAACAATAACAACAATAACAGTGCGAATAACAACACTACTACTATAATCAGTATTAATAATACTCATATCCGCACTCATAATACGAAAAAGAAGAAACATAGGAGGAGGAGGAGGAGGAGGAGGAGGAGGAGGAGGAGGAGGAGGAGGAGGAGGAGGAGAGCAGGGAGCAGGAGGAGGAGGAAAAACAGGAGCAGGAGCAGAAGCAGGAGCAGGAGGAGAAGGAGGAAGAAGAGGAGGAGGAGGAGGACGAGGACGAGAAGGAAGTGGAGGAGGACGAGGAGGAGGAGGAGGCGGAGGACGAGGACGAGGAGGAAGTGGAGGAGGACGAGGAGGAGGAGGAGGAGGAAGAGGAAGAAACATACTCATACTAATACTGAAGAGGAGAAGAAGGTGGAGGAGGAGGAAGAGGAATAATCATACTAATCATCCACATGATGTAATAATAGCAGCAACACTAACACTACGAATACTAATCTTACAATAAATAGTAGTAGTTAATCACAATCATATTCGTAATATGGAGCAGAAGAAAATAATGGGAGGAGAAGGAGGAGGAGGAGGAGGAGGAGGATGAGGAGGAGGAGGAGGAGGAGGAGGAGGAGGAGGTAGGAGGAGTGAGGAGAGTAGGAGGAGGAGGAGGAGGAGGAGGAGGAGGAGGAGGAGGAGGAGCAGGAGGAGGAGGAGGAGGAGAGAAGCAGGAGGAATAGAGCAGAGCAGGAGCAGGAGCAGGAGGAGGAGGAGGAAGAGGAGGAGGACAAGGAGGAGGGAATAGGAGGAGGAGGAGGAGGAGGGAGGAGGAGGAGGAGGAGGAGAGGAGGAGGAAGGAGGAGGATGAGGAGGAGGAGGAGGATGGAAGGGGGGGGGGGGGAGGAGGAGAGGAGGGAGGGAGAGGAGGAGAGGGAGGAGGAGGAGGAGGAGAGGAGGAGGAGGAGGAGGGAGGAGGAGGAGGAGAGGAGGAGGAGGAGGAGGAGGAGGAAGGAAGGAGGAGGAGAGGAGGAGGAGGAGGAGGGAGGAGGGAGGAGGAGGAGGAGGGAGGGGTCCGCGCCGAGTGCCGCGCCGAGCCGCCCGTGCCCGCGCGTCGGGCCATGCTCCGCCCTGCTCTGCGGCGAGCGAAGGGGGCGGGGGAGAATGAGAAGGAGAGGGCTTTCTCGGAAGGCGGCGGGACGGCGTTGTCCTCCTCCTCCTCCGCCTCCTCCTCCTCCTCCGCCTCCTTCCTCCTCCTCCTCCTCCTGCTCTGCCCTCCCCTCCTCTCGTCTCCTCCTCCTCTTCCTCCTTCCTCCTCCTCCTCCTCCTTCTCCTCCGCCTCCTCCTCCTCCTCCCTCTTCCTCCTCCTCCTCCTCCTCCTCCTCCTCCTCGTCCTCCTCCTCCTCCGCCCGCGGCAGGGCCGGAAGGGCCGCACGCGGTGCGCCTGCAGTGGCCCTGCCCGGGCCGGTAATGAGCCCAAGATCGGCCCGATGGTGCTTGGGGGTGCAGTGAGAATCGGGGGTGCACAGACCTCCTACCCTGACACGTCGATTAAGGAATTGGCCGTTTTCGGTTCGCGAGAGGGCGTCGCGGCCGTCGTTTTTGCGGGTCCAGGTCCGTCGGTTTCGGTCCCAGGCCCCTTTCACTAAGGGGAGGTCTACTAAAAGGAGGTTTGTCCACTGCCGAGAGAAGGAGAAGGCCGTCTCAGAAGGCGGCGGGGCTTCTCGGACGCCCTGGCGCCTTCTGAGAGGTTTTCTGCATCTTCGGGGGAGGCTTGGAACACTCATCGGAAGGCCGGGGGGCGCCGAGCCTTCTGAGAAGGCCTTCTTCTTCTCACTCCCCCCCCTCGCTCGCCGCTGGCAGACTCCGCGCCGCAAAACACAACAAGAGGTGTGCCGCCCGTGTGCCGTGCCGTGCTCTTGCCGTAGGCGCGCCAACGGCGATGTAGGCAACGGCGGCGGAGGCTTCGGCGTCGTGGGTGGGGGTGCTTCGAGGCCAGCCCAGTGGTAGGCGAGGGTTCTTCGTGTTTTCCTTCCACTTGCTCTGCGCGAGTTCGGCGTCGCGAGTTCGGCGACTACTGCCAACATGTTTTCGTTCCCCGCAGAGTCGACGACACATTCGTTGGATGTTCGTGGGTTTGCTGAACATTCTATGCGTTCTTCGTAGACCCGTAGGAAAATCAAATCTGGGGTGAATCAATGTTGGTCGGTCTCCCTACTCGAGCTCTTGCCTCCAGTGAGCGCGCCCCCTTCTGAAGGTCACTCACCGTGTGTGTTCTCGCGCAGAATGGCTGTCTGGGGTATCGCTGCACGGCGTCGTTTGGTGCTCCGCGAGGACCCCGGTGCCCACACCAAGTACCTGGGACCAGAAGCTCTGCGCGGCAGCGGGGGCATCCTGCTGGACCAGAAGGGGCGCCGGTTCGTGAACGAGCTCGACCTCCGCAGCGTGGTGTCCAACAAGATCTTGGAGCACTGCGACCCGTACAAGATGCCAGACGGAACCGAGTACCGCCCTTGGGCGTGGTGCTTGCTGAACGAGGAGTCGCAGGAGAAGTTCGGCAAGCCCATGCTGTCGTTTTACAAGGACCAGGTGGGCCTCTTCGAGGCGGTCGAGGGCACCAAGGGGCTTGCAGAGCTTATCTGGGAGAAGGAAAACCAGCATGATCATAAACTTTCGGAAGTCTGCGCGGATTTCTCGGATCGGCGCTGGAACCCCCGATCAGAGAACTGAGCAAGGATTTCGAAAAGTGCATGTTTGTGCCAACTTCCTTCTTCTATCATCGGCTGTGACGAGCAGAACGTCGTGGAGACGCTGAAGGAGTACGCAGCGGCGGCAGACCAGAAGATCTGCTCGAAGACGGGCAAGGCCGTCTTCCCTTCGATGCTCTGCGAGACGGACCAGAGCTTCATCGTTGCGCGGATCACGCCCTGCATCCACTACACCATTCGGAGGAGGGCCGGTTGATACGCGTTGGCCCCCGAGGCTTTGACACCCGCCGATCTGATTTTGCCAATGCGCGGCTCCAGAGGTCCCGACCCCTTCCCCAAGGCCAGTTTTTCGCCCTGCATCCGTTTTTGTCGCCCCAGGGTCCGATGCCACGCCCCGGAAGGCGGCGATCGAGGGAAGTCGCCCGGATCAGATCCTCGAGGTTGGGCTCGGCGACGCCTGGCGGTTTTCGGGTCATACAGTCAACCTTCATAGCAGGAATGGGCGACCTTCCCAGGGGGTATCCTTGCATCCTTGCCTCCTCGGCCCATCCTTGGCCACGTTCGTTGGCCGCGCCCCGCTCGCAAAGCTTCGAAACGGGCGTCCAAGGCTCCCTCCTCCTCCTTCTCCCCCTCCTCCTCCTCCTCCTCCTCCTCCTCCTCGTCCTCGTCCTCGTCCTCCTCCTCCTCTTCCTCCTCCTCCTCCTTCTCCTCCTCCTCCTCCTCCTCCTCCTCCTCCGCCTCCGCCTCCGCCTCCGCCTCCTCCTCCTCCTCCTCCTCCTCCTCCTCCTCCTCCTCCTCCTCCTCCTCCCCCTCCTCTCGCGCACCCTTCTGATACGGGCCGACTGCAACTCGGGCCTCCGGCGGCCGTCTGGGACGCTGCGGGCATCCCCCCCGCACAGCGCCCCTCGGCGGGGGGCGCGCGGCTGGTGGAGAGAGAGCACCCCGCGGCGGGGAAGCCTCGGGAAGCCGACGGCGACGCCCGTCGTCTTGTGGCAGTCGATTACTGG